CCTCATTACCACAAAAGTCCAATCCTTTGTGCGATCTTTTTTTTTTAATCTAGTGAATTCTTTAGAAACTGCCAAATCTAGCAATGGAATTCACATTTGATTAAAATCCTAGCCAATCGTTCACTTCAAACATGGATTTAAATGAGATTTGGCTAGAACCTAAATCAAATCTTGAATTCATTGCTTCTAGAGATGTGACTAAATTCTTGTCGGTAAATTTTAGGTTTATTCAGCTTCGAGAGGACTATAAGAGTGCAAAGCTTGCCTCCAAGCTCAGCTCTTTGTTTGGCTAATGCAACATGCTGCTGCTGCTATATCTGAGTAACTTCCTGCAGAAGTTGCATTTTTATTATTATTATTACTACTTGAATCTTGTAGAGAGGGGGGCATGGATGACTTATGAATGTAAATTATACTCAATATTGTTCTAAACTATCTTCCTAGATTAGAAGAACAAAAGCATAGTTCCAAATTCTACTCTCCAATTGTGTCCCATTTTACTCTTTTTGCGGTTTAAAGATCAAGGTAAGTATATGAAACGGAGGCATACTTTGTCGAGCCAAGCTATAATGAGTGACTTGGATCTACCAAAGGGATTCAAATCAAATCATCATCACAGCCATAGGAGGTTGATCTTCACTACCAGTACAATTTAGCTCTCACTTGGGGGTTTTCTTTTGGTAAAAAGGAATATAAGAAATAATTAGGAACGAGCAATAAAAGATCCTCTAAGGTCCCTTAAGCCAAGCAATATAATGGCCTTGTGTCTTACCAAGGGTCCTCATGAAGTACGAGACTTGTCTATAGCACAAGCATAACCCATTCGAAAACTCTCAATCTTTTTGAATGTAAAATTTGTGCCCTAAATTTTTAGGTCTGAAACAGTTCTCTCTCAAGGACTTTTTGTTGCAACAATTTATTTTCTTAGGGAGTAGAACATTCGATGTGTTTTTTGAATACATTGCATTAAATTTTTATATAAGTTGAATTGAATATAACCTAAAATAAATATCTCGTGAATCAGTAAATTAAGAGGGTGAGTATTCTTTATGAACCTTAACACTATGTTTGGTTCAAGGAATTTGAAAGGAAAAGAAAAGAAAATGAATTTCTCTCATTTTCTACACCAAAATGGAAGGAATTTAGTTTTTTCCTCTACTTAATATATTTTGCCTTCTCATTATATCTTTCTTCCACTTTTTCTTTCTTTTCCCCTCTAACCAAACAAGAAAAGTTGTGTTTTCATTTCATTTTCTTTTCTTTTCCCTTTCAGATTCCTTAAACCAAACATAGTGTAACAGAATTACTCCCTCCATCTGAAAATGTTGTTCCAATTTTTCTTTTTGATTCGTCCGGAAATATTCTTCTCATTTTCTTTTTTAGAATATTTTTTAAGAATAACTTTTAATTATACCCTTCTATCTTTTCACTGCTCTATTTTTTTATTTTCTTTTAATAAGAAAAGAAGATTTCAAAATTTATAGTATGTACATTTTTTTGAAAATTTAGCACTTTTTTTAGTGCTCCTTAATAAGTCTGAAGTCAACACGGAGGGTGAAGTCAACACGGATGGAGTATTATTGCTCCATTGTGGCAGACCCGCTGTGTCGCTGTGTGAGTGAGTCACTCACTTCAATACACCTAAAAGTTCAAAACAAAAACAAAATACAAAAAAACAGCTCCAACCCAATATTCTCTCTGATGAAAGAAACAGAGTACAAAAATTGACCTTTAAACAAACACAATAACCTTGCGTCTACGTAAAAAAAAAAAAAAAACTAATTGGACAAGAAACATAGTACTAAAAAACGTTTATTCTCAACAAACATATCCCTTCACTGGGAACAAAAACCACTACTACTCAAGCACTGTATATGTATCAATCATCATCATCAATGATGATGATGTATTGTGTGTCATTGCATATTTCTCTCATGCCGTGTTCCTACAATATATAGAGGGGAAAAAAGGGATATCCTTCATTGTTTTCTCTCAGTCCAGCTTCACAGAAGAGAACAAGTAATGCACAAACCAGAAGGACGACAGGAAGCCAACTGTGCCCGTGGCGAGCATGATCGCCACAACCATGAAAAGGGAGTACCCCAAGTAAAGGGTAGCCGAGACGGGCCCGCTCAAGCTCTTCAGGTCGAAGATCAGGTAGTTGACAGAGTAGAGGAATATGTATATGGCGACCGACCCTGACGCGAAGAACGACTTCCACCACCACTGCCAGTCCTCCACGCACAGGTGCATGTAGGTCAGGACGAGCGACACCTCGGCGCACACCACCACCAGAAGGACCATCACGATCAGGAGGAACCCGAACACGTAGTACACCCTCCCCATCCACAGGCTCGACATGATGAAGAAGAGCTCGATGAACAGTGTCCCGAAGGGTAGGGTCCCTGCCCCAAGGACCAGCAGCCACGAAGGGTACTTCTGGGCGGGTATCTCCCGCGGGATCTGGTTCGTGCGCACCGGGTACTCAATGTGGGGCGCCTTTGCTCCCAGGTACCCTCCGAAGAGGGTGAGTGGGACCGCGATGCAGGACCACAGCAGGATCAGGATGAGGTATAGGGAGAACGGGATGGCTCCGGTGCTGTGGCTGCCCCACAGCAGGAAATTCAGAGTCGTGAGTATGAGCAGAGAGATTCCTGGGAAAAAGCACGCGGCTTTCCAAGCGACCGAAATCCAGCCCCTGTGGTCCCCGCAGAAGATGGTCCTCCAGAGACGAACCGCCACGTACCCGGCGGCAACACCAAGAACCATGTAGATGAAGAGCATGCCGGTGATCAGCGTCCCGCGCGAGGCTGGAGACATGAACCCAAGGGCTGCAAAGAGAATTGTGACCAGTCCCATTCCTAGGATCTGGACCCCGTCCCCGACCATCACGCAGAGCAATGACGGGTTCCTCGGTGCACGGAAAACATCCGCGACCACAAGTTTCCAGCCGGACAACTCCTCGTTCATTTGGGCCTGGGCCTCCTTGTCGAGCTCCTCGTACCTCGTGAGGTCCCGCCTCACGGTCCTCATGAAGATCACGAGCACGATTCCCGCCAAGAAGGTGATGACCATTAGGGAGTTGAGGATGGAGAACCAGTGCACCTTTGCACCCTCCATTTTCAAATATGCATCCCACCTCGATGGCCACTTGATGTCGCTCTCGACAAAGTTGACCTCGTACGAAAATCCCACCGGCTCGTTCTCTTTGATGGCCATGCCTACCCTACCCGGATCACACCTGATAGGTGACGGGTATTTATCGTACATCTTCAAATTCTTCATCGATTCCTGGTTGTGTTGGAAACTACAAGGGACAACCTCAAACCCGACAACCATGTACCCCGGCGCCTCAGACCCTTGTTTCCCAACCGTGGGGATCACCTCAGCCGCGTCCCCGGTACCCATCACACGCGCCACATTGGTCTCCTCATACTTGTGAACAAGAACAGTCAACTTCAAGTGGTTAAACACGTAATACGTTTCATGAACCTTAACTCCGACCGGGTAACCCGTCCACCTCAAGAAAAACCCTTCCTTTGCAGTGTACCGGATGGCAGGCAAGTTATCTAGGATCAAGTTCACCTGATACATCTCATCAATTCTCTTCTTCAATAGCTTGAACTCCTGCCCCGACAGTGGCTTGGTCTTGCAGAGAAAAATCTCGGTTTGATTCGTGAACATCTTAAACCTATAGGGGGAGTTCTCAATCCTATCCCCCATGAGGAGCTCGCCGAGATTTTCAGCACTGTCCTTGATGCCCTCTTGGGGCTTGCAGAAGGGGAGACTGTAGTAAGTGAATGGAATCTCGGTGTCAATTGAAGTCAGTGAATTGACTTTCACATTCAAGAAATCTCCGATCCCATATTTGTGAGGGTAACTACCCGGCAGGTAAAACCCATGACCCGATGCACATACCAAGCAGATGAAGAAACCCCAGATCTTGAATTTCTCCAAAACCCCCATTTTGGATCGGATCTGGCCGACCTAGGTCAAGAATACCAAATGTAAAATGTCAACAAGAATTAAGCATGCGTTTTATGAAATTCCGAATGCAGGTGAAAATGCAATCAATCGATATTTGAAAGAAAAAAACAGAAACGGAGTATTCTAGGTCCAGATCAAGATCAATGCAGGGCTTCAGTTGAAAATGGCATTCAAGAGAGAAACGAATGATGGAAAGGGAAAGTTAGAGATCTGATGGATTACCTGAAACAGGAATGTAAGATCGCGACAGCGGTGGTGGGTGGTTCTTGTTGAAGATGCTGGCTGAGGAGTGTGAGAGATGACGAAGAGTTAGTCATTACACAGACATTTTATACCCAATTCTTCTCTTCCCCGTCGGTGCGAAATCTTGGCACTCTTTCGGACAATTAAAGTGAATGACCATTATGTCCCTCCCGGTAAAAGTCCCCCCCAAAAACTGGGCACCTTATACCAGGCTAACTCACGTATTCCCTCCGTCCTGGAATAGATTACAATATTCCCTCACATTTTTGTCCCAAAAAGGATTACAAAGTTAATAACTTTATAGTGATTTGACTCTTTTACCCTCCCTTTTTCTTTTCTCCTAGCTACTATTCATACTATTTGGGGGGATTTAGGAGGTAATTTGGGAAAAAAGAATTTGATTTGACTCTTCCTTAATTTCAACTAAAAAGGAATATTGTAATCTAAAGTGGGACGGAGGGAGTATAAAAAAAATGTTTGTGCAGGCACGAACATTTAGTGTATGCGTGTGTTAGCCTGGTGTAAAAATGGGTACCATATGTTAGTGTACCCCTAGGTTAATTTAAAAAAAAAACCAACCATCATCCACTGCCTTCATCATCCACCCATCTATCTTTCTAAACCTATTAAAGCTAATAGGTGTGGTGTCGTGAAGGCCGATGTGCCTTTCGTTCTCGATCCACGTTCGGCATTTTTGTTGTTCTAGTCCTTCATCACCAACCTGACCGACCTGCTCTTCCTCATTCTTCTCCCCTCAAACCTTCTTCGAACCATTTACGAACTATTTTTTTAAATTTAAATCATTCACAAATTTGAATTCAAATACACGTAATTTGAATCAAAACACAAATTAAGAGGGACTTTAAGTCCGAGTGGTAGGACAGACATTAAACAAAAACTACATGGTTTGCTTTACTAGTAAAAACTAGGGAGTACATAAATGTTAACTTCACGTCCCTTTTTTTAAATAAAAATCATCAAACTGAAACTGTTTTTAAAGTAAATGCATCACATAAGCTGATAAAATATGTTTCTGGAAAGAAAGCAGCACAAATTAAGTGTCACAAACAACAACAGCAATAATAATAATAATACGAGTAATACGCCGAAAATGAGAAATTCAATCCACCCGGACAGTGCCTGCACTTGACTGCCTCCACCTGGTCCATGGCTTGATAGTACAGTAAAAAGGGATCCAAACACCCAAGAACTTGGCAGCCGTTCCTGCACGAGCTATTTGAGCTTTTCTGGCTTCTTCGACCGTTTCAAAAGTGATATACCCGAACCCCCTGCACTTTCCAGTGACACTATCTGCAGCAATTTTAGCCTCAACAACATTCCCTAATGGCTCGAATGCTTTCCTGATGTCTTCATCTGTACTGTCCCTTGGCACACCACACACCATGAGCTTTGGGGTAGACACGGTGTAACGAAATCGAACTGAACCAAATTGAGACATATGTGGTTTGATGAGTGTCGGTCTCAAACATCCCCCAAATATGCCGCGCAAAACTGAGGACAATGCCATTGAGAAATCTGACACATAAAAACAACAACAACAACAAGAAAAACAATTTCTTATGAAGTAGTCCATACATAATATTTTTTTGTGCATCTGAAACTAGTCATTTACTTTTCACATTTTATTAAACGAGTTATGATTTATTACAAGAAGTATTCTAAAATGCCACCGGGATGAATCAACATTGTCGACATCAATGAAAGACAAACTGACTTAAAGGACTTGGGTTGCATTCCAGCTCCATTTTTTAGGGTTGGAGCTACAGTGGGTTCTTTTTCAAAAATATTCTCAACTTTTTAAATTACATACCTTTCCCCTTTTCTAAATATTCTCCAGCTTTTGAAGAAGACGAAAGGAAAAAATACGACGGTGAGTAATTTTACATCTCAACAAAACCATCTCAAACTAACCCTAAAATTCAAATTTCTCAACAACTGCCCTAACACAAGCAACAACAATAACAGTACAAATAGTTTAATCAAACATGTTATGTAGTCCAAACAGTTGAACTGAATACAAGAAAGTGGAGCGAAGACATACTTCCCCAATGTGAATATGTGAAATATACACATTCTGGGAGATCATGCAATAAAATGCACTTCCTTTTTTTTACAAAGGAAAAAATATGCACCTCACATTATTTATTTCTCCTCAGCTATACTCAAACTCATATGGTCAATCCTTGTGTAGGACTAGTTGGCCTAGTTGTTGTAGTTCAGTGTGTGCTTCCTCCTTTTTTGTACCTCTCTTTTTCTTTTCTACTTCCTATTTATCTTTCTTAAGTTTCTTCTGTTTTTGTAGACTGGTTTCTTTTGGAAACAAACTCTTTCCTCTCCAGGCAATGCTCCATTCAACTTATTTTTTCTGTTTATCCTCAAAAATCAGATAACATGCCAACAGAACGCAGCCTAAGATCATACCAGATTTGTTGTTATTGATGTGCATTATGTATCTTTTAGAGCTTTTCATAAACTCCATAAAGTGAATCTATACATTTGGTTTTGGGACAAACGAAGTTCTCCCTTCACCCTATTTTGTTCTTCTTGCTCTCCATGTATTGAGTCCAGTTCATAAATATAAATGTGCAGATCACATATTAATATTGCTATTCAAACAGTTTACTAATTAAGTAAACATTTAATAAATAACCAACAGCAGTCTAAGTAAATTTACAAGTAATAAGAGAAGGGACATCTTAAACTGTAAACGAATGGTTTGAAAAAAGTCCTTTGAAAATGCAGTAATATTTGGTTCAACTCAATATGAACAAGTGCTCTACAAAAGATTTTAAGACTCCTCAAATCAATAAAAAAATATATATATATTGTTTGATTAAAAAATCAGACTCAAATTAAGTTTTTTTTTCCAATTAGTCTACTCCAAATAAGAATCCAGCATAATTGCTTAAATGAATTTCAAATATAAAACTTCAAAATTTAAAACTGACCAAAAAAACTAAGCTTGCAAATTTCTAAAACACACAAAAGGTGTTCAAGAAATTAAAATGCTAAGATGTGTGTGAATCAACATTACCTTTACACGGAAAATTGAGGAGTATGCTCCTAGAAGGCTCCTCTTTCAAGCAAACTTTGGACACTACTTTGTTCCTCCAAATGTGTGTGTGCATGTGTAGACACACACACACCTTAACCTTTGAAACACACAAGTTCATTTATTTTTTCTTAAAAAAATTACTATTAAATAACATATCGATATATTGTTGGATTAAAAGGGCTGTGCATATGATTTAAAGAATTCTCAAAAAAAAATATTGACTTTCAAATAACAAATTGAGATACTGACATACCTTTTGATTGGAACAATTAAAGCTAATATGAAACAAACAAATTAGCATCTAGATCTAAACATACAAGAAATTTTAATAAGATTTCGGCAGAATCCGATGCTAAATAAGCAAATATGGCAGAACCGAACCCAATACAAAAAAAATAAACTTCATATTCGAGGGCCCAAGCAGAAAAAATTGCAGATCCGAACACACACCTATAACACCGACCGCAAATATAACTCATCTTCAGCCTGTTGACTAAGATTAGACCTTTAAAATAATACTCCGTAAGTCATAGTACTATGAAGCTATCTACAGTTATTGGAAGCTTTACCCTTGCGCACTCGCTCGGAAATGGAACCGATTGAACTTGATTCCCTCGCACGCGCCTATGGATCGATAGCCTAGCTTGAGAGCTCTCCGATGGCGTCGAGCGTGTATGGTTGCTCGGAGAAAAAGCAGGATAGAGTGAATCGGGTACCTAAATAGTGTGTTCTGGTGAGGTGGGGGGCTTGTTCCTGTGGGGCTGGGTGGATGGGTTAAGTGAATCTTCAATTTTAGGACCGGCTCACCCTCGGGTCATTCCACCCAGGTGAAAAAATAAACTATTCAAAAAAAAATTCTATTTTGACCAAATGTTTAAAAAATTCTATTTTGGCCAAATATAACAATCTGGCTTCTCAAAAAGACTTTCTGTTTTGATCAAATGTAAAAATGATGGAGTGTTAAATTGTTGTTGACTTCCAATTTCGGCCTTAATGTGATAGGTAGATCATCATGGAAAAAGTATGATATGATAGATAATGTATAAAAAAGTAAAGGTAGAAATAGTTTTTTAATAGAAAATAAAAGTATTTTATTAGAAGCGAAAAAATGAAAAAGAAAGTATTTTTGAGAACTGATGGGTGTATTCCACCCAACACCGGTCCAAGGTTGGATCCACAAATGTTTGACCGGTCAAACGATGAACAACTGAAATAGAAAGCCTAAACGACATAATACCCATCGATGTAATAAATCCGACCAGTACACTAAGTTTACTTTACCGATCGAACTACGGAACTTGACTCGGTCCTTCCCAGTCTCCCTAAATCCATCACGTGTAATCCTAACCGGTATGGTTTCTAGGGCTCGAAAGCATCGGCATGAAAGAATTCAAGGGAGGTTAGACTGAAGCGATCGAATTCAACGAATGATCACTGAAGATATTCACGCAATCACTCCAACACGCTACGCGACAAAGGAGTCACCTTCCTAGCTAGATGACAATGGAATAAAGGGATGAAACAAGCCACTAAAAGACAGAGACAATCACCCCACGCCACCCAAGAACGTGGCCTGACGTGGATGTGCGGTGTTTTGTATCTTCTAGTTTCCTTTAAATACTTGTGTAACCCTCAAATGAAGGGATCAAAATTCTTTTCTCTAGAATCCTTGCCTAAGAGCTTGCGTGCACTTCACTATATTCCAATAACAATTAGGCTACATGTGTTTCCACCTACAGTCCTCCCAGTTAACCTTCGTGCTTATTACCTTTTACACTCTCAAATCTAGTAAATAATCATAGACACAGTCTAGAGTACATAATTTTTGACCCTAGGTAAATATTCAGATGTGAGGGAATAAGTATCAGTATGTGTTTAATACTTGTCATCTCACACACTTCACACTTGTAATGCATAATCACTACTCCGATGATTACACTTTAATTTTTTATAACTAATTACCTTGTATATTCAAATTACATTATACTTTTTCTGTTCCAAATTATTTACAACATTTCGAAAAACATGCAAAGATATCCATTTTAAATTCGTTTTATTTACCAACTAGTAGAGAAATAAAAAGTAAAAAAATTACATTGTTTAAAAGTACATAAAAAGTTTTACACAACAAGATATGACAAAAATATTTTATATTATCAAATAGTCAACCAAAACAAGTAAAAAAAAAATTATCGAGATACCAAAATAGTAACTTTGGTATTCTTTTTTGGGGAGTAGTAAGAGTGGTAATGTAAACTTATAGTTTAATTGGGAGTACCAGAGTCTTTTATTAAATTTGGGAGTATTATTGTAAACTTTCGAATTTCTGAGAGTATTTATATCAATTTTTCCTAAAAAAATATACAGATTTGATGATTTAAATAGAAAAAGAAGAAGGTTGGGGGCCCTTGGCGGAGGGTGTTTGTAGTTTCAAATTTGAAATTTGGATCCAGAGAGTACTTCGTAGAAGAGAGAAGTCGGGGAAGGGGAGAGAGGGGTTAAAAAAATACACCCTCAGTTCTAAAATGTTTTTCCCACTTACTTTTTACACGGTCAATTTTAATCACTTTCTTTACTTATTTTCATTAGTTATTTGATAAAATAATAGTCTTGTCACAACTTGTTTTATAGAACTTTTAATATAGTTTTTTTAATATATAAATTTTATTTTATAATTTTACACCTACAATCAAATAAACCGTATTGAAAATAAAGTAAGTCAAACATCATAAACATATATTATAGGACGGGGGAGTAACCATTGGGGAGGGGGGACTGTAACGCCACAAAATATGGCCTAAAATTTATTATAAAACGAAAGTAATTTTTGTCCAATAAAGAATACTTTTACGTTTGACCAAAAAATAAATGGATTTTCAAAATAATTACTTTTTGTTAAAAACTTATTTTTATGGATATGTCTCGAAAAGACGATTCCAACGCTACTTTTTATGAACCAATCTGATTTATAGATTTCAAGCTATGATGATTTTACATATTAAAATGTGTAACTTTGACCCATAAAATAAACTCAATCCAAAGGTGATTTTATAAGATTAGAAATCATAATTTTGACCCTTGACAACATCATATTAATCATTTAGATTTTATCCATATATTTTTTTATCTCATTCATATTATTAAATTAATTTATGACTAAGACAGACCTGAACACTTAGAAAAATAAAAGTTCTCAGAAAAATATTTCAATTACATCAAAATTCTAGTTTTGACAGTTTGATTCCAAAAACACAATCCGTTTTCAATTCGAAGCAGTTTGGGCGAAAAAGCGCGTACCGCTGGTGGCTGACGATCGACCGCCGCCCGCCCAGCCGAGGACCGTCTTTCTCAGTCAGTCAACAACAGTCAACCACTGGTCAACCGCGGTCGACCGTCACGGTGTTCTGCCAGCCCAACGAGATGAAGATCAAGGTCGACCGTCGCGTCAAATGGTTGACTGTTCCGAGCCCCGTAACTTATTTAAATGATATTTTAATCATGTTTCATCCAAATAAATTAATGCATGATTATATATTCATATTGTTTGCAAATTATTCACATCATGTCATTCATTTCATCATTTATATTGAAGCATATCACATCATGTACATACGTAAGAGATCAGCCTTAATGCGTCTCTTATAGTTGTGATTGTGCGGGACTTAGCAGTCCGACATCACGGACCGGGCTTAGTGTACGTACATGGTACTTAGGTTTACGAGTACCACCCCTATTTCTGCGTGAGTTCGTCGTACCAAATGGGCGAATCTCATAGTTCAAGGATCGTCCTTGCGTCTTAGAATCATGCATCATGTTATCATCATCAAGTACATCGATTACATAGGTGTCATGTAATCATCATCAAGAACAGGTATATTGATTACATAAGTATCATGTAATCATCCTCACAAGCAAATTGATTAAATATTCCATCATGTAATTATCATTAAAAATTTATCATCATGAATCATCAAATTGACCATATGATATAATGTGCCATTTCATGAATATTATTATACATTGTGGACGTATATACATGTATATGTATACGTCTGTGAATCATTCTACAATTCTAGCGTGGTACCACTCAGCGGTTTCGCTGAGCGTGTAGTTTGTATTTTTCGTTGACTACACGTAGGTAACAAGAAGACAATGAAGGAACCATTCCCGGAGGGCATTGAGTCAGAGGAGATGCAAGGATAGCAGGCAAATGTTTGACCATCAGATTTTAAAATGTGTCATGATTTGATTATTATTGTACTTCCGCATTACTCTGAAAATATTTTTAAATGGGTCGCGATCCAGAGTCTGTAAATTTAATATTTATCAGTAATTGTCATTTTCAAATGTCAAGCGAAATTTTTTTATTTAACCCTCGTTTCACCTTAATTTGTGTAATTCCGGGTTATACGGATTGGGGTGTTACAGGGACAACCAAAAAATAGGAAGTAGTCAAAGTGGTGGTGGCTAAGGGAGCCACTCACTAGAATGGGAGGAGGGGGGTAGTGATCACTGAAATGGGGGGGCAGTGTTGCTTAGCTTCCACGCCGCTGCCGAGTCACAACCACAGTCTTCGATTGCTCGCCACCATTGCCGATCGCCCCCTGGTTTCTTTCTTTCATCTGCCGAGTCCTTCTTCCTCCACAGGAGCCATTTCCATCAAGACTTTAGCAAATTGCTAATATAAAAAAAGAGTGAAATATGAGAGGCTGCAGATCGACATTAGTGACGGTAGAGGGGACAGGGATTGCAAACTGTGCACTCATAATTGGCGTCAAGATGGGGCCCAAACCCATCGGCATCATGGTGGCTAAGTTAGCTGGTTGGGAAATAACCATTGGAATGGTTACTCCCTCAGTGGTGGCGTGCACCTGAGCAGAAGTGGTGTTGTTCAACTAGCTTGAAGATATTCTCCGTGGTATCTCGTGAATAGGTTTGTGTTTTGATGAAAAAGAAACATTAGTAGTCCCACGATCAGAGCCAAAAATGATGGTGTAATTTAATAGGCCGGGTTTAGGATCATTTACTGGGTTCGAAATAGAAAAAGGTAAGTTTTAAAATATATATCATGTACCCCATCTCTCCCACAAAACCTTTCCCATTTTTTTTCATCCGTTCCAAAAAACCATTCCTTTTTCTATTAAAAAGTCATATTTACCCGTATTAATTCATAACCTACCTAGCTATCATATCACACTTTGTCTCTATTAATTCACCTCCATCTCTCACACTTTTCCTAATTAGCACTACATATGTTTTTTCCCAATGTAGCACTTTAGGTCATTATCCATTAGTCATTATTCAAGTAAATGTTTGTCACCACTGGTCATTATGGACATTAATTATTATGTGTAATTTAGGAAGAAAACAATATAAGTGCATGTTATTTAGAGAAATGACTTAAGTTTTAGTGCTATTTAGTGCAAATATTTCTATCCATTATATCAAAGGGTATTTTTGGAAAGTCAACGCCAAAATACACTGCCCTTAAATCCTTTAAAAGTCAAAATGAGAAGTTTTTCAAAGGACGGAGGGAGTAGTTAATAAAAATGCTTATGTAATACTCCGTAGAGTCAATAGCACTAAAAAAAGATGCATATGTGATAAATTAATGAAATTACTTTTTAGAAGTAATATAAATATAAATTATGGATTACAAAAAATAACTTATTTAAAATTTTTAAATTACTTTTTAGAATCAATATAAATATAAATTATGGAATACAAAAAATAACTTATTTAAAATTTTTAAATTAATGAAATTAGTTTTCAAACTTTGAAATATATTACAATGATGAAATCTATAATACAAAAATTATTATTAAAGTTAGAAAGTGAAAGTTTATAAACTGAAGGGATTTATAAAGTATAATAAAAATAGTGATTATTTAATATACAAATTAATACGCACGCATGGCATGCCACGTGGCATGTGATACACATGTGGCATGACACGTGTGACGTGACACATGTCGTTACCGTATTTAAGCCGCTCAACTTTATATATATACTAGTAGGTAACCCCGTTCTTCGCACGGGCTGGGGATGTGTGCGTGTTTTTTGTTGTTTTTGTAATTTTTTGGGCAGTGTTTCTATATTTTTGGTTTGTTTTGAATATGTTATTGTTTTTTTGTTATTGAGAAATGCAATTTTGTGTTAAAATTGGCGTTTAGATTTTCAATTTTTCAAGGATTAACCTTTTTTTTATATTTGTTGTTTAAAAATGTTGATGTGAGGGAATGATGTGGATTCATTATACAATAAGTTTTAATAAAATGGTACATTGATGAAATATAATTGCGTTGCGAACGAAACGAATAAGTCTTGTTTGAATAATTTTTAAAAAGTAATGAGTAGGGAAGTAATGCAGATTTTGGGGATTAGTAAGTGTTCATAGTTGTTATTTTAATTTTTATTTGGTAATGTTATTTTGCGAGTTGAGTAATTTATATTTAATTTGTAGGTAAAGGAAATTATTAATATTGTGTTTGAGAAAATATAATATATTGAATATAGTTTTCAAACAAACATAACTGCAAATTAAGAAAAACATTATAAAACCTATAATTAGTTGAATTCATATTTGTTGTTTAATAATAATTCACTGGTGTCATTCATGGTGTACGGTTGTCAGTGATGATAAATTCTCGAATTTGGTTTGCATCACCGGGCGAATATACAGAAATTGTCGTATAGCATTTGTGTAGCCTGTAATTGTAAATATAGAATAGAAATGGTTGAGAAATATGACGGTAATTTGAGTGTATAGTATTGAAGAAGAGATGAGGAGTAATACCTGATATGGTGAAGGAGTATGGTGTTTGAAGTATAAAGTCATGCTGCAATTTGTTTCCCTTTGTGTATGATTGGGTTGAAGTCGATCAGTCCCCTATGAAGCATTATTACATATTAGAGTATAGCGTGTTGGTAAAAAATAATGTACAACCAAATTGATACAGATTGTTTTGGGAATATATTTTTTGGAGATGTAGCGTTCAGTTCCATACGTAATGGTTTTTTTAAGAATCTTCAAGTTTGTATTTAAACCATGTACATGTACTGGAATAGGTGTTTTTTGTGAAATAACAGTGTTTAGCATATGACGCCTTTGTTTTTTTGTGTATCTATTGAGGGGTAATAAAGGTTTTTTTATTTTGTTTGAGGTGGGGTGTACCTGATGGATGGGGTATATTATTAAACACTTCCTTGTAGACTATATTGCGCGTGTGCCTTGCATATTCTTCCTCTTTTTCTTTGAGGATGAATTTGAGTCCATTTGGTTGCGTGACTCTGGAGGCTGCAACATATAGCTGGCCGTGTGTGAAGACAGGGTTCGGTAGATAAATTCGTACATGTGTTAACGATTGCCCTTGGCTCTTATTAATTGTCATAGCATAGCACAGTCGCAGGGGGTATTGTCTTCGTTTTAAGACAAAAGGGTATTTTGTGTCTTTTGAAGATATGACTATTCGTGGGATGTCGACCACTGTTCCAACATGATTCCCTGTGATTATCCTTGCCCGAATAATATACTGTCCCAATTTTGTTACTATTAGTCTTGTCCCATTGCAAAGGCCTAAGGTTGGATTGATATTTCTAAGTAATAGTACCGGTGTGCCACATTTCAAAGTAAGTAAATGGTTTGGCATCCCAGGGAAGGTTAGTGTGTTGAGGAATTCAGTTGGGTATCCAATTTCATGTGCATCACTGTCTTGTGAAGCCTGGCAGATTTCATCACAACTTTTATATGTCTTTTCCTCTCCAGGTAGTAATTTGTACATGTCTTGGTTAATATCTTCTGCAGTGGTGTTCAATGGGGTCAATATTGCTCGTTCTTTGAGGTAATTCTCATCACTCCATTTTTCAAGGAAGTTGGGGTATGTGGTTGCTATTAAAGTTGACATGTCAGTGGAGTGACCTGGGATGTAGTGTTGTTGAGGTATTTCTATCCAGGTGGCCTCGTCCTCATCCGGCAGGGCTTTTGTCGGCAAGGTTCCATTACCCATCTTTAACAACCAATTGTTGAATTCTTTTGCATTTTGATTTTCAACTGAATTTCCTGCATCCTCTTGGATTCGCATGCTCTTTGTGAGTGTGTAAACTGTGCAACTTTCCCAGATGTACGACCGATTTAATGATGCTTGAGCAAATAAGCATATAGAATGGTTCCTGGGATACAAAGAGCAATGGTATAATTCAATGATAATATAGGAATATGTATCAAAAATGATAAAACCATACACATGAAAGAAATAAATCATGATTGTTTCGTTATTTGAAGTTATAACTTCCACAGGTCTTCATAATCTGCAAATAAAGTATTAATCTTAAATTTATAATGTAGCATGATCCTATATGGTCTTGCACTTTCATATTAATATACTAAGAGTGTGTAGTAGTATTTGTAATTGCATTGTCTGAGTTGTAGTATACGAATGAAGTAGGGTAGGTAGTATAAACGTATAGACTTCTTCCATTCCAAAAGTGGCAAAGTGTTCAAGTGTTGTGCATACCCATTTCTAGAAGGCAATGACCGGATGCTTTAACATTAAGAGATAGTTTTTACTTTTTCGAGATGGTAAAAGCAAAAGTAATATGTAAACAGTTAAAACTCTTGCATCGTTAAGGATCTATAACGAAATAGCCATTTCAGCTTTTGGAATTGTTTTTAGTTGTGCCCTTCTATTATTGTGTATTGATGCTGAAACATTGATTCTTTTTTTGATATTGAACTAAAATATGTAATGAAGGTTAACCAAAGACAGTGATAGATCAGGCTCAAAGAAGATGTCGTGCTTAGAAGAAATTAGAATAGAAATTAAGGGAAGGTACTAAGTATGGATGTGTTGTTAATCTTCTCATAATGGGTATTCAGCCAATAAGAAGCTTTTAAATACATGAAGTTCTATATTGGTGCAACACATGAAAAAAGCAGGACTGTTTTACTATGAAATTATAACTTCAGTAGATTGTATGTAAAGGATCACCATTAACAATGCATTATGAGTTTTTAAATCTTACTGCACTTTTAGCCATTTTAGAATTTGGACACTGATCCATTGATGAAATTGTTTTAATAAGTTCTGCATATTTGACTTTTAAGGTCATCATTAAATCTGTGTGAAAACAACAATCCATTATCAATTTTAACATCTTCCAGTGTTTTTTAAGACTAGAAAATTAACATCAGTCCATAAAGAGGCATTTTTTTAACATAGTGTGTGAGAGTTTCATTATTTAAACACAACATAGTACTCAAATATCAATAACTGCATGATGTGAATGAACATAGTAATAAACACAATAGTGAAGAAGTGTATAAGCTCAATAGTAATTCCCAAAACATAAATGAATTATTCTCATTATGAAAATATGGAGTCATGGAAAAGTACACAGAATGTAATACTGTGTTTGTAATGAAAAATAAAGTGTGCCAGTGGACAGTTTACACTTTGTACTGTCTCTTTCTCTTTCTCTGCTTTTTTTTAATTGTAAAAGTACTCTCTAATATTACGTGGGAACAGTAATACTGGTCACACCGTAAAACTTTATTTGTAGAAACTTTATTCCATAATAGCTCTGTAGTTTCCTCTGCCTTGATTGAGGTTTAAGCCGTTGAAATAGCACCATCGGTGTTCTCACTGTGGCAATGTTCAGTTTTAATTTTTTAGCTAACATAAACTATTTCATATCAAATGTGGGCTTATTTAAGAGACTACAAACCTTAAACGCATTTTTTTATTTGGAGTGTTCTCCATGGCAGGTGAACTTGGGGTGGCACTGGTAGAAGCTTCATGAGGTGTCTACATTCATCACATACGTTTGAGTTCACATTAAAGATGTCATGCTTCAAATATAGGAAATGTTCTATTTCAATTTGAGGAGGCATGTAATGCATAAATGGATGGAATGCATTTAAATGTAATAGGTGAATACCTCTTTATTTTTCATTGGACCAATTATAGACTCCTTGTGTACTTTATTTGCTCCGAAACTCTGTGTGTATGCTGTTTTGTTGTATTCAGTGAGTTTCACATGAAACACAAACCTCTGTCCAATCAGTACTAAGAAGCTCTGTATTGTTCTTTGTTATGACAGACGCGAGGAAGTATGAACACGAACAATCAACAATCACGAAAAAGACAGAGATTTAACGTGGTTTACTAACAACCTGTTAGTAACCTCCATGGACAGAAGAGAAAAACTATTATTGATCAATATTTTCTCACCAGATTACAGATTTTCTCTACCATGTATTGAGGAGTACAAATACAAGCCATATATATAGGGAAGGGGATATGGGTAATCCTAATCCTACTATATATCTAAAGATGAGATTAGGAAAGATAATCCTAATCCTAATCCTAGTCGTAATCCTAATACGTCTAGGATACAGATTCAAGGCATTTTCTAACAAATCTCCACCTTGACTTAAATCTCCTCAAAAAGACAGCAGATGTACCAGATTTCCTTCCAGAAGTGACCAGATGTACCATAGGTACCAGAAGTCCAACCAAGGACACAAATGTCACTAAAAGACAGGAACAAAATTGTTTCACTTGAGTTCAGAAGTGTTGTGACACACCAAAAGAGATTTCCCTTACTCATGGGGACAGATAACTCAAGCTAAAACACCAACAGATGCAAACTCCACCTTGAGTCCTGACTCTTCATGGAACCTGAACAGAAACAGATGACACCAACCTAGTGTCCAGATGACTCCTAGTGTCCAAAATTGGCAAATTGCTCTGGTTTAGCAAGCTTATGGAGTGGAACAAAAGTAACTTTCTTGTCACTGCGTATAGATCTTGCTACAGACATAGTGATGGGATGACAATGCTCACAAATGAGTCACGGAATTTCAAAAAATATCTACGCAATACTGAGGTGGTAGATGCGTGCATATATATATATGGTTGTCACCTAAACACCAAGAAGGCTAACAAACGTAAATTCCTAAAACCTTTCCCCCTCCCTTATTGTAATAAATGTCTATGATTACAAAACATAATAATTGGAAGAAACCTCACAACTTCTCCGTTTTAATTTTAAAGTGTAATGAATTCAATCAATTATACAATAAATGCATCTTTCTCACCTGATTTTGGCAGAGCAAAGGATCCCGTGGTATCTTTGACATTTCTGTACACCTTTTCTCTATCTTCCACTCCAACGTTAAAGCCTATACATTTTTCTGTGAATCAGTCATACCTGCCCAAACCCCGTGTGATAAACAAAAACAAATGTCAAAGATCCAAGCTTTCAACAGCAATTTTTTTTCTTTTAAAAAACAAACCCTAACTCGGAACCGAAAAATGGCCTCAATTGAAGCAAAGCAGCATAAATTAGAGTTAATTTAATAAGCAATTTCATAAGCTTACATTGATGGATGTGGAGAAACGATTCAGGTGGAGGAGGGTGTCTGCGGTGGGAGTAACGATTTTACCCGGCTGGAAACTGTGGCTGGATTGAGGATTTTACCCGGCTGGAAAACCTCAACCTTAAATCTGACGTGTCGTGCATATTTTAATCTTTAATGGCTAATACTTAAAAGGATTACACACCACATTTTTTAAATTACACATAACATGCCACGTAGTTAAATTTCAACTATTATACCACCACGTAGGCTGCCACATGTCGCTATGACAGCTAAACCGCTCTACTTTATATATATATATATATATATATATATATATATATATATATATATATATATATATATATATATATATATATATGATTTTTTGACATTTCCCCAATCATAATTTGACATTCCTTCTGTAACGCCACAAAATATGGCCTAAAATTTTATTATAAAACAAAAGTAATTTTTGTCCAATAAGAAATATCTATACGTTTGACCAAAAATAAATGGATTTTCAAAATAATGACTTTTTGTTAAAAAGTTATTTTTATGGATATGTATCGAAAAGACGAATCTATCGGTACATTTTATGAACCAATCTGATTTATAGATTTTCAGCTATGACGATTTTAAAAATTAAAATTTGTAACTTTGACCCATAAAATAAACTAAATTCAAAAGTGATTTCATAAGATTAGAAATCTTAATTTTTGACACTTGACAACACCATATTTATCATTTGGAATAAATCCATATATTTGTATCTCATTCATATTATTAAATTAATTTATGACTGAGACAAAACTGAACACTGAGAAAAATAAAAGTTCTCAGAAAAATATTTCAATTACATTAAAATTCTAGTTTTGACAGTCTCGTTCCAAAAACACAATCCGTTTTCAATTCAGAGCAGTTTGGGCGAAAAAGCGCGTACCGTTTAGAGTAAACTACTCAGAATGGACTAAAAACCAAACTTAATAAACTCAAATTCCATGCCAATCACGGATGAGCATCCTAGCTATATTTTCTCCACTAGCCTCCACCAACCTACCCCACTTCTCTCTTTATATCACCATCCTCATCATACTCCACCACCATCTTCATCATTATACATCATCACTATCATCCACTATCATTCATGCATCCATCTCCTCTCCATCTCTCTCTCTGTCGGCAGCAACAAGAAAAAGAAAAGAAAACTCCAACTCCATGGTAGTATGTTAAGGAAGAAGAAGAAGGAGCAAGAAAACCATTCAAGTGTTCAAAATCCTGAAACCAAAACACATCAGTCCACTTCTAGGTAAAATCTGAAATTTTCCATTCATATTCTCGAAATACTTTCTGAAGCAAAGTTGTAGCCCCGGACGATACGAATCCAGCCCAACAAACGGCTCGCGATTTCGTTAAGTAACGAAGAAGATATGGCCAAAATACCGGGACTGCGCCAAGGGTGGCGAGCTCCTCGGGTTGGACCATTTTCTTCACCAAATTCATATTGTCTCATTCCAAGAACTCACCATAAACTCTCTAACAAGTAGAACATCCTGAAGGTATTGTAGAGAAGGTTCGGTGTTGGAATATTGAAGTTAATGGGTTAATCGTCGGAACCGTTGTTCACCGGAGTATTCAAAATTCTGGACAGCAACTCTCTCCTAACTTCAGGTCCAATTTACGCTATTTTAAATTCATTATCTCAAAATATTTTCTATACGAAAGTTATAGCCTTACATCTTAGGAATCCACAGAATCAAACGGTTTGCAATTTCGTGAAGAAACGATGGAGATATGCCCAAAATACCGCAGGCTGTCCAGTTGTGACGGAAATGACAAAGTTGGCAAATTTCGATGTTGTTTCCACTCCCGCTCATCCGTAAGGTTTCGGCCGATGATTTCCAGGTCTGTACCTTTGTGTTAGACTTGTCGAATCATTCATCACATACGTACATGAACATATATGTTAATCCATTTGTTGAAATCATTCTAAAATATATATGTGATGCATATACAAGTCATCTATGTGTTAAGACTAAAATATACCAAATTCATAAAGTTAATATATATACATAAGTATATTTAACCATTTGAAATCAACCCAACAATATGTATATGTTAATCAAAGGTTTTTAAAATGCTTAAAGAAATATTTTGGACACTCAAAATATCAAGAGGTAGATTCGCAGAACCAAACGGTCGATGCAAACGGTCGACCGTCGTATTAAATTTTGAAACGGACCACGACTGTCAGCCAAACGGTCGACCGCCGGTGGCTGACGGTCGATCGTCGCATGCCCAGCCGAAGTCCGCCATTTGCATCCTGTCAACAACGGTCGACCGCCGGTCAACCGCAGTCGACCGTCACGGTAATCCGGCATCTCGATGCAAAGAAAATCAAGGTCGACCGCCGTGCTAAACGGTCGACCGTTCCGAGCCCCGTAGCTTAATTAAATGATATTTTTATCAGATTTCATTCAAATAAAATAAAGTATATTTATCCAATCATGTTGTTTACAAATTGTTCATATCATGTGATTCATTTCATCATCCATATTGAAACATATCACATCATGTACATGCGCAAGAGATCAGGCGGAAGTGCGTCTCTTGTAGCGTGATGTGCGGGACTTTATAGTCCGACATCACCCGTTCCGGGCTTAGTGTACGTAGATGGTATTCAGATTTCGAGTACCACCCCTACTTTCTAGTCTCCCTTGAGAGACTAAGGCCCCGTGAGTTCGTCGTATCAAATGGGCGAATCTCATAGCGCAAGGGTGTCCTTGCTCGTTAGAATCATGCATCATGTTATCATCATCAAGTACATCGATTACATAGGTGTCATGTAATCATCATCAAGAACAAGTATATTGATTACATAAATATCATGTTATCATCCTCACAAGCAAATTGAACAACTGTGCTATCATGTAATTATCATTAAATATTTATCATCATGATTCATCAAATCATCCATATGATATAATGTGCCATATTATGAATATTATTATTATACTTTTTGTGGACATATATATGTAAATGTATATGTCTATGAATTATTCTACAATTCTAGCGTGGTACCACTCAGCGGTTTCGCTGAGCGTGTACTTTGTATTTTTTCGTTGACTACACGTAGGTAACAAGAAGACATTGATGGAACCTTTCCCGGAGGGCATTGAGTCAGAGGAGATGCAAGGATGGCAGGCAATGTTTAGTCAACAGATTTCAAAATGTGTCATGATTAAATTATTATTGTACTTCCGCATTACTTTGAAAATAATTTTAATGGGTCGCGTTCCAGAGTCTGTAAATTTAAATTTACAAGTAATTGTCATTTTCAAATGTCAAGCGAAATTTTTATTTTACTCTCGTTTCACCTTAATTCGCGTAATTCCGGGTTATACGGATTGGGTGTTACACCTTCAGTAACTCGTGTAATTTATGATGCTCTAAAAACTCTTTTATGAGTGAAGAAGATAAGTACTTGGACCATGTGTTATGATGACTAGATTTGACGGAGAGTAAAAAGGTATGATGTGGAGTGATGAAAATATGTATCTTGTGATAAATGTGATGGAAAGTGATGAGGCATGACTTATAAGAATGCGTTAAATTTTGATTAGTTTGAAATTTAAAAAATTAAAAAGAGAAAAAAGATGGACACTGCAGGTGACCACTATCCAGCCTCCTTTGTAACGTCTTCGTCACGCTGATGGTGTCGCGATAATCCAACGGGCCGGTGGGTCAAGACCCATAGGATTGGAGGGTGGAGTCGGAACTAGATGGTAGAGTGGTACTAAGAGTCCATTCCATAGGACTTATTTTTTCTACTTATTAGTTATTCTTATTAAAATCAGACCAGATTAGAGCAGATCAGACCTAATCAGATCATATCAGATTCAATCAGGTCAGATCAGACTCAATCAGACCAGATCAGATCTAATCAGATCATACCAGATCAAATCCAAAAATATGAAATCATGAAAAAATATAAAAATAATTTTTGTAGAATAGAGTCAATATTTTTGTAGAATAACATCAATATTTTCTAATATTTGATTATTTTAATACCGGTTAATTAGTTTTCACAAAAATTAAAAAAGTTGTGATATTGAAATAATGTTTAATATTTTTTAAAAAAAGTTTAAACATATCAATGATTAGTTGATTTTCTTATTTTACTTTTTTTTATGTATATATGAGTTGTAATACTTTAAAACTATTAAATTTTGTAATAATTTTAAGTTTAATTTAAAACAAATTTAAATTCATTTACACTAGATCTAATTAGATAAAATCAGATCAGATCAGATCCAATCAGACCAGATCAGATTCAATCAGATCAGATCCAATCAGATCAGATCAAACCCAATCAGATCAGATCAGATCAAAACTTCAAAAATTCAGATCAGACTTAATCAGATCAGGCTCACGGAACAGAGTCTAAGCCCTACTCTCCACCCTAAAACATGGACTAGGGAGTACAAGGAAATAACTAAATAAACAATACAAATTCATGAAGACATATAGTAGAGAGAAAATTTTATAATTGATCTTTTATAACACTAGATTTCTAAATGTACTTCTCTTTTATCAAATATTACCCCGTAGCCATTCTTTTATGTGCGTCTTTCCAGAAATGATCTTTTTTAATCTTATGTCATATTGTTATTTATTTAAATGCTAAAAGTATAATTTGACATAACCTTATGACTAGTAACGTATTTTGATATTGGTTAGACGTATTGTGATATTTGGCTAAATGTATAATTTATGCACAAAAATAATTAGAAATCATCCTAAATAGGACTAAAACATAGAGAAAAGTACCAAAATAGGACTTTCATGTTTTTTTTTCCCGGAATAGGACTTTGCATTATGGTAATGTGACTTTGCACTGTGGTAATATGGCAGTGTACATGTGCAAATTACTATACTTTCTTGGTAACGTATATGACCATGTTTGGTAATGTAAGTTCTATTTTGGGAATAAAAACATGGAAGTCCTATTTTGGTATATCTTCAATGTTTTAGTCCTACTTTGGTCTTTCTCCAAAAATAATATGTATGACTATCGGCTACAATCTATCTATACTTAAAAGCAGGGGAATTTTAGCCCAACTTTTCCCGCCCAAACAATGTGTCATTGTGAACCGTTGATTAGCTTTGACATCTTGATCAATGGTTGATTATTATTATGGATATTTCATTGGGATAATAATAAAAACCGCAAGATAAAAATGGTAAGAATAAAAATCAGTAGAGAAACATAAATGCATCTACAACAAAAAAAGGAAACACATTTATTAAATATGGACCGTGTGTTTTATGAAAAAAAGGAAAATGCATAAGGATCCCTGTGTATTCTATTTAAAAAAGGAAAGCTTTATTTGTGGTAAAATCCGTGTGTATTTAATAAAGAGTTTGAGAAAAAGGAAAAAATTAATAAAGAAGATGAAGCGTATGTAATGTTAAAAAAAGGGAATAAAAGGAAACACATATAAGGAATTAAGTGATATAAAAAAGTAAAGATCTTGATTTTAAAAAAATGTTATTGGATCTACGGTTCTTATGCATTACCAAATATGGAGTATCAAATTATCTAGTTATGCTAATATTGAAAAAAGACACAATTAACAACAAATGCTCCGTAGATTATTAAAAGGAAAAGAACTAAGAAAGAAAAGCAGCCGCTCTTAAGTAATACTCCCTCCGTCCTAAAACTTTCTTCCCAGAGCACTATTCAAACTTCACGGGAATTTATATTTATTTTTGTTTTTTCATGGCCTATGTGATAAAATAAAATATTCTTGTCACCACTTGTTTTGTTGAACTTTTGATGTAGTTTTTAAATATGTATGTTTTATTTTTTATTTCTATACCAATATTTGAATAAAATAGATTGAAAAAACTTGGGATTTTTCTTCGTTTTGGGAACCGGGAAGAAAGTTTTAGGACGGAGGGAGTAATAATATGGGATCTATGTTTAAGGTAAGATTTAAGAAAGGAAAAAGATGTAAAACCTGTAGTTAAATAAAATGAAGAAATTAATAAAAGGGAAAAAATTAAGAAAGGAAACATTTAAATTATTTTTAAACTTGGGTAGAAACTAAAAATTAATTGATGATAGAAATCTACAGGTGGAGCAAATCTACAGACAGAATTCCCCTGCTTTTAAGCTTGAGACTTTGACCATGTGTAATTATTTATGTTCCCATTATAGTTTATCATGAGTATAATTTGTAACATAAATTACATTAATGAATATAGTATACTATAAATGTAAGAATAAATAAAAATAAATGGAAACATGTAAAATTGTGATCGTGTAAAATGTACTACGTGAATGGTAATGTAACTAATGACTAAAAATGTCAGGATCATTAATAACCATATAACATGTGGCCTTATTAAATGGTACCATTAATAATAATAATAATAATAGTCCGAAATTAAATGTTAATTTTGTTGCACGGTACTTGGAGGAATACAGTAATGGTTAATAAATAAGTATTCTAATTAAATGGAGTGTTCTAAATAAAATAGGGATGAATACGGTTATGGTATGTAGATAAATATTATAAATAAATGGAGAGTTCTAAATAAAATGGTAAGTTTTGATACAACATGGTACATGGAGAATTACGGTAATGGTAAGTAAATAAATATTCTAAATAAAGTGATTAAATAATTTAATATTAACAATATTTAATAACCTATTTGTTGTTAATTTTACTTTTTAAATAATAAAATGATTAAATAATTTAATATTAAAAATATTAGCCGTGCAACACACGGGAGTGATACTAGTTCATCAAAAGCAGCCTTTGAAATTGTATATAACAAAAAATGTATATTATTATTGTTAAATTATAATTTTAACTCTTGAATTAACACCAATATAATAGAAATAAAAGATCAAAATAAAAACTTTTCATAGAAAAATATATAAAAGATTTGTACAATTACGGACCCAATTTACTCTATATCTACTTGGAAGTACTCCGTATAATTTGCAGAGTTCAATAAGTTTAAGGCATCCGAGGGTTAATCTTAGATCAGATAAAATCAGATCGAGAAGAAGAAGATGATGATGATGATGATGCGATGGATTGGGAGTCACGGTCTGCCATTGCGCCGTCTCTGTTCATTTCCGATTCAATATTCCAAACCATGCACCGGAGCTACTGTCTTTTGCTCTCTCGCCGAGTCGTGGACGTCGCCTTCACCACCTCAATTAGGGTTTTTTCTCTTTCTCTTGCTCGCCCCTTATGCATCCATCCAATATTAAGTTAATTTTTGCTTTTTTATTCTTTTCCTATTCCCCGGTGCTCTTCCGACGATTTTTTTCATCTGCACTTAACATCTTTGAATTCCTAGCCTTTTATTCATTTCCTTTTCATAATTAGATAAAAATTAACTCCGATGTTTCTATCCCGAGAGTTTGGTAAACAAAGAATCAGCCAAAAAGATGAAAAAAGGACAGATTTTTGCTCACTTCCCGCGATTTCTTTACTTTCCATGCCATTTCAGTCAAAAGACTCCATTTTTGACATTTTTTATGTTCAATTTGTTGGAATTTGAATGTAGTCTTATATTACCATCACACTGAACAAAAATGATGCTAAAATGATCCAGAAAGAACGAGATTGTTGGAATTATATTAAAGTGCGGCCTTACCCCTGGATTTTTTCCCCGTATAAGAGATATTCGGACCATTTTTGGAAGAATATGAAAGTTGAAGGACTAAATGGTCAAATTTGATAGATCATAACCAATTTGGGTGTTTGAGAATAGTTGATGGATTATTTGGTTTTGTTGATTTTAAAAAGTAAAATCATCACATTATTAGATTAGAGCAATGCTACGATCACAAACAGAATGGTCACAAATTTCACAAACTTACCATTTATGGTTTAAATTTTAATTTAAAAATTACTCTAGACCATTTAAATTTTTTTATTGAAGTTCACAAACAGTAAGTTTGTAAAGTTTGTGACCTTTTTGTTTGTGAATCTAGCATTTCTCATTAGATTATGAAATGTACTCTTGTATTTTGTTGTTTGTAGTTTCTTGGCCTAATAGTAAGTTCCATTGCAGGTGTGCGGAAATGTTGGTCAAGAATCATTTAGAAGAGAATATCATAGATAAGGTAAACCGATTTGTACAAGGTCAACCAATTGAGGTTGGCAACATCGTGGCTGATTTAAACCAACTAAAAGCTTTAAGGCAGAGTATGCACCAGCAAATCCCCTCTTTACCTGACCCGGGGATTTCTAGGGAACCATCTCTTCTGACAGGTATGACGGCCAATATTTGTTTAGGTAGAAGTAGACCACATAGGGCAGAAGTAATGCATGTATTGCCTTTCTGGCTAAACTACCTAATTTGGCAATCATTTAGGAACTCAGCGGCACCATCTCTATGTATCCCAAGCCTTCTAATTCTGCACATTTCCCTTGTTTTTTGTTGGATGTCCTACTGCATGATAAATATCTCTTTTCTAGAAAAGAAATTCTAATATTGATTGCATCAATTGTTAATTTGAAGATAACGTATACATTTATCTCATTTCCTTACTAAACACCCCCCCCCCCCC